CGAACTAGGTTATGATAACGCGGTATATTAGAACTTCGAATTATTACTATTACGACTTATTAAGTTTTTCTCCGTTTCTTATATGTATTCTTTTTCTTTTTCTTCAGCCTTAACAGTTTCCGACACATTTCTCGAAAACCATTGGACGGAAATGAATGCAACCTTACATAAGTGTTCATCTTTGTCAGTGTGTGCAAATGACCTTTCATTTTCCGATCGGTCAACAAATATGGCCGCCACAGCCTCTAATTGGTCAAAATTAAATATTGGTTGATTTTGCTCGAATTTGGTATGTAGGTGTATTTTTGCACTGCGAACATAGCTGCGGGGGTTTGGGTGATTTCTGTGATGGTCTCCCATTACAATTAGTACTTGCCACACCTTATTTCGCCCAACTTTTCTGTAAAATATTATCTCATCACACCTTATCTCATTTCACATTATCTTAACATAATTTATCTCGCCTAACCTTATCTTCTTATAACTGATCTCACCATTATTGTAACGCGCCTATTTCACCAGAACTTGTATTACCACACTATTTATCATTTTTATCTCGTACGAATGAGAAACTCAATAGAAATGATCATATCTTAACATATTTATTGAGAAAGAAAATGCATAATTAACAACATACGAGTAAAAAAGTTTTACTCAGATTTTGTAAGAAATGATTTCTGGTTAAAAAATGTAAAAAAGTGTATGAGCAGAATAACAATTTAAGCCCTGTGCCAAAACCTAAAATCAACGCATGTCATTGTCAAATTTCTATTTTTCATTATAAATTGCTGTGTGGGTTTTAAACAATGGAGATATCCCGAATTCTCACCTAAACATTGAATAACATGTTTTGTGTCACTTCTTGTTTGATATTCCTTGTCCTCATAACGGAAACCTAATGGACAGAGTGCCACAGATGTGTCCTCATGAACGAAAACATAATGGACAGAGATAATGGAAAGAGTGCAGTGTTCTCATCAACGAAAACATAATGGAAAGAGTGCCACAGATGTGTCCACGTCAACGAAAACATAATGGAAAGAGTGCCACATATGTGTCCTCATCAACGAAAACATAATGGACAGAGATAATGGAAAGAGTGCAGTGTCCTTATCAACGAAAACATAATGGAAAGTGTGCCACAGATGTGTCCTCATCAACAAAAACATAATGGACAGTGTGCCACAGATGTGTCCTCATGACCGAAAACATAATGGACAGAGATCATGGAAAGAGTGCAGTGTCCTTATCAACGAAAACATAATGGAAAGAATGCCACATATGTGTCCTCATCAACGAAAACATAATGGACAGAGTGCCACAGATGTGTCCACGTCAACCAAAACATAATGGAAAGAGTGCCACAGATGTGTCCTCATCAACGAAAACATAATGGAAAGAGAGCAGTGTTCTCATCAACTAAAACATAATGGACAGAGTGCCACAGATGTGTCCTCATCAACGAAAACATAATGAAAAGAGTGCCACAGATGTGTCCTCATCAACAAAAACATAATGGACAGAGTGCCACAGATGTGTTCTCATCAACGAAAACATAATAATGGAAAGAGAGCAGTGTTCTCATCAACGAAAACATAATGGACAGACTGCCACAGATGTGTCCACGTCAACGAAAACATAATGGACAGAGTGCCACATATGTGTCCTCATCAACGAAAACATAATGGAAATAGTGCCACAGATGTGTCCTCATCAACGAAAACATAGTGGAAAGAGTTCCACAGATGTGTTCTCATCAACAAAAACATAATGGTCAGAGTGCCACAGATGTGTCCTCATCAACGAAAACATAATGGAAAGTGTGCCACAGATGTGTCCTCATCAACGAAAACATAATGAAAAGAGTGCCACAGATGTGTCCTCATCAACAAAAACATAATGGACAGAGTGCCACAGATGTGCCCTCATCAACGAAAACATAATGGACAGAGTTCCACAGATGTGTCCTCATCAACGAAAACATAGTGGAAAGAGTTCCACAGATGTGTTCTCATCAACGAAAACATAATGGACATGGCCTCATCAACGAAAACATAATGGACAGAGTGCCACATATGTGTCCTCATCAACGAAAACATAATGGAAAGTGTGCCACAGATGTGTCCTCATCAACGAAAACATAATGGACAGAGTGCCACAGATGAGTCCTCATCAACGAAAACATAATGGACAGAGTTCCACAGATGTGTCCTCATCAACGAAAACATAATGAAAAGAGTGGCACAGATGTGTCCTCATCAACAAAAACATAATGGTCAGAGTGCCACAGATGTGTCCTCATCAACGAAAACATAATGAAAAGAGTGGCACAGATGTGTCCTCATCAACAAAAACATAATGGACAGAGTGCCACAGATGTGTACTCATCAACGAAAACATAATGGAAAGAGTGCAGTGTTCTCATCAACGAAAACATAATGGACAGACTGCCACAGATGTGTCCACGTCAACGAAAACATAATGGACAGAGTTCCACAGATGTGTTCTCATCAACGAAAACATAATGGAAAGAGGTCCACAGATGTGTCCTCATCAACGAAAACATAATGAAAAGAGTGCCACAGATGTGTCCTCATCAACAAAAACATAATGGACAGAGTGCCACAGATGTGCCCTCATCAACGAAAACATAATGGACAGAGTTCCACAGATGTGTTCTCATCAACGAAATGTGTCCTCATCAACGAAAACATAATGGAAAGAGTGCCACAGATGTGTCCACGTCAACGAAAACGTAATGGACAGAGATAATGGAAAGAGTGCAGTGTCCTCATCAACGAAAACATAATGGAAAGAGTTCCAAAGATGTGTCCTAATTAACTAAAACATAATGGAAAGAGTTCCACAGATGTGTTCTCATCAACAAAAACATAATGGTCAGAGTGCCACAGATGTGTCCTCATCAACGAAAACATAATGGAAATAGTGCCACAGATGTGTCCTCATCAACGAAAACATAGTGGAAAGAGTTCCACAGATGTGTTCTCATCAACAAAAACATAATGGACAGAGTGCCACAGATGTGTTCTCATCAACGAAAACATAATGGAAAGAGGTCCACAGATGTGTCCTCATTAACTAAAACATAATGGAAAGAGTGCCACAGATGAATACAATAGTTTTATTAAATCAAAATAACTAACTAATGATGCAAAGCAGATCAATACGTAAGATTTATTTTTCAATAACATATTTTTTTATGATTAAACTAAATGATTACCCTCGAAAATGTACTTAATATAGCGCAGAGGGATGTAAAATGTGTAAAAAATAACTGAAAACATCTCTCGTGGTCGATACAATAAGTTCCACAGATGTGTCCTCATCAACGAAAACATAGTGGAAAGAGTTCCACAGATGTGTTCTCATCAACAAAAACATAATGGTCAGAGTGCCACAGATGTGTCCTCATCAACGAAAACATAGTGGAAAGAGTTCCACAGATGTGTTCTCATCAACGAAAACATAATGGACAGAGTGCCACATATGTGTCCTCATCAACGAAAACATAATGGAAATAGTGCCACAGATGTGTCCTCATCAACGAAAACATAATGAAAAGAGTGGCACAGATGTGTCCTCATCAACAAAAACATAATGGTCAGAGTGCCACAGATGTGTCCTCATCAACGAAAACATAATGGAAAGAGTGCCACAGATGAATACAATAGTTTTATTAAATCAAAATAACTAACTAATGATGCAAAGCAGATCAATAAGTAAGATTTATTTTTCAATAACATATTTTTTTATGATTAAACTAAATGATTACCCTCGAAAATGTACTTAATATAGCGCAGAGGGATGTAAAATGTGTAAAAAATAACTGAAAACATCTATCGTGGTCGATACAATAATTTGTCGAACCAATGAGGAATAAGAGATCCCTATGATTCCGGCTATGCTGTGTTATTTTTTACAGGGTACAAAATGATTCTACCGAACGAATTACCAAGAGAAATTGTATACTTTATATAACTTAATATATCATAATGCAACCAATTACAAAAAAGGAAAATAGTAATAGCGACAGTGTAGACAAAGGAATGTGCCAGGTGTACTAGGCATTGCTCCCCTTTATCACGACAGTGTAGACAAGGGAATGTGTCAGATGTACTAGGCATTGCTCCCCTTTATCACGACAGAAATACGAACATTTACTTATCACAACATATAATACAGAGATAAACAGTCACTTTCAAGCAATACTATATCACTAAATACATAACAGCAACTAGTTTTCACTTATATAATATTCTGAATATTAACAAAGTATCCGTCTGGCCGGCTGGTAGCGAAAGGCTAATAACAGTGAAGAACTTATCTTGAAATCGTGAGATTGTGAATTCAAGAGAACCAACTGATAAACAAATGTTATTAAAATCAGTGAATATATCTATAAACGTAGTTGTATGTTTTGTCATTGTTCATGGTTCTGTAGTGAACAAGAAGAGCAATTCCATTGTTTGAACTACTCGTTGCTATTACTTCTTTGCTTAGATAGATATTTAAGTGCAATGCATCCAACGAGCATATGCTTGTTCTGATTTAACGCTCATATTGGTCCCTACTGTCGTTATTACTCATGTAGCAAAAAATATATTACATACATGTTACTTTATCCACATACGCAATATACTGCAGCAAGCCACACGTAGTGAAACCACAACAAAGCACATATAAATAGAAATATTTAGCAGTAAAATGATTTACATGATATAACCAATACATGTTTATAACTGCCAAGTGGAACATATAAGGTAAGAAAGACAAGAAGTAACAACTACATCATATACCACAATATTCGTGAGCAAAAGGGTATTGACTATGATCAAAAATCAAGTGACCCGACAAATGACATATACTATACATGAATAGCAGTAGACAAGCTTAGATCTGTTAGATGTGTGCGAGCGTGCGTGTGTACATGTGTAAGTATGTGCCCCCCCCCCCCCCCCCCCCCCCCACACACACACACACACACACATGATATTCATACTACCATCACAATTCATAATATTTTGACATGTTAAAAAACACATTAAAACAATGATCTTATTCCGGTTGCTATTTCATGTTTGAAATGAATCTTTTTAACATTTATGAGGGTATGCAACACAGTTCCGTTCAAACATATTATATGATGCGCGTTAGTGCATCTTGGAGAATACGTTTGAACAGTACTGTGTTGCATACCCTTATAAATGCTAAAAAGATGCATTTCAAACCTTATATTTTACGTTCTATTGCATCCACTTTTATTATTTGAAATCAAGAAAAAATAGTCTTTTTCACGTTAAAAAGCGAAACACCGTCATGAAAACAACATAAATTGAACAGCCTTTTCGCAGGAAAGATGATGCGTTGTCAACGGTGACGAAATTCACAGTTGAGCAATAAACAAATAGTTCCACTTTGCATATTTTTAATAATATAATTTATATTAACAGCATGTTTAACAAACATTGGTTACCTTAGAAATTATCTTAAACTGTTAGACTGTCAAGAATGAGTTTGGCTCTCAGGTAACAGAACAGGTAAATAACATTTTGATGAGTGACCGGAGTTTTACCTTGCACCCTCTGCCTTCATAGAGAGCCGATTTATGATGCCGCATGACTGTTATGAAAAACCTAACTGGACGTTAAGGATTTGTTATTTGCATTCATGCTGGTCTATAGTTACCCTTCACCTGGATTTTCACACATTGATGAGTTACGTAAGCGCCCTGGGTGGGGAAAATTACGGTCTACGTACATGTACAAAATGGCTATGTTTACCTGTATATGGGACCGTGTGCATATGTGTTAAAATTTAACATATATGTATGTCGATTTGGTTCGTTTAAAAAACACCAAAACACCATTTCTAAATTAAGAGAAATATAGAAAGATCAGCTTAAAACGTAGCTAGAATATAGAAACATACTTTAAAATTCAAGTTTATATGTTTAAATACGAAACCTAACACATTGTTAAGATATTTCTAAATTTTCACTAGTCACGTGCACGATTGTCATCGCACAACGTTCGTCAATCGTCCGCACAAATGTGCGCAAGCAATACTCGTCCAGGTTTTCAAATTCCGAGTCATTTGATACATATTCATAAAACTTCCGGCCCGAAAGTATTCTGAGAATCATCACCATCTCGAATAAAGCTCTCCACCGGGGTGCACAATAATTTTAGAACAAAATCTTATAAAACTATTAACCGAGGTATACCATGGTCTCAGAACAATATGTATTTAATAAATTAACAGTCTGTAAGCTTTGCGAATCATCCACAAGAGGTCGGAATTTTAGGCCAGGTAGATAAGCAATTGATATGTGTTGCAAAGTTTGCTCACATAAAGCATATGGAATAAGAGATTTCGTGCGAGCTTTCAAAAGTCCGTAAAAAATAACTAGTGCCGTATGAAAAGTTATAATATAGTCAATTTCTTTTCTTTTAAAATAGTTTATTTTTTCAAAGGCTTTTGTAGGCGTTTTATATTTGATAAACAGTATCAGAAGAGCACACTTTGTAAAACTTATTTCCCGATGACATTGGCAACACTGTTTTCTTTACAATAAAACTCTGTCCATTATCACAACAATACAGTCTCTGTCTGCGGTTCTTAATTTTAACTGAATCATTCGTAAGGTGAACATCTACTGCTTTATGCTGGTTGAGGAATAAATTGTTTATCTTGTTTTGATTTTCTGGTAAGGTGTGAGACTTAAATTTAAAACAATACTTTCTAAAATGATATGATGATATTTAGCAGGATTCCAGTTTGACTTATTAACTTGATATTTGTCCGGATCAGTTCCCCCATTGTATCTTTCTGCCAAACGCAATTTCAAACAAACTTTAAAATGATTGTTTTAGATCATTTGTATCACTTTTTTAGAAGAGATTTTTTCAAATTGCTTTTTAAAGAAAATGAATTTCGTCGCCTGATAGAGTTCTCTTTAAAAGATAGATTGCCTTCAGCAGACGTTTTAATAACAGAGTTGGTGGACGCATGAGGCGGGACATTGTTAACAGAGTTGGGGGACGCATGAGGCGGGACATTGATAACAGAGTTCGTGGACGCATGAGGGGGGACATTGTTAACAGAGTTGGTGGACGCATGAGGCGGGGCATTATTAACAAAGTTGGTGAACGCATGCGGCGGGACATTGATAACAGAGTTGGTGGACGCATGAGGCGAGACATTGATAACAGAGTTCGTGGACGCATGAGGGGGGACATTGTTAACAGAGTTGGTGGACGCATGAGGCGGGGCATTGATAACAGAGTTGGTGGACGCATGAGGCGAGACATTGATAACAGAGTTCGTGGACGCATGAGGGGGGACATTGATAACAGAGTTGGTGGACGCATGAGGTGGGACATTGTTAACAGAGTTGGTCGATGCATGAGGCGGGACATTGATAACAGAGTTGGGGGACGCATGAGGCGGGGCATTGATAACAGAGTTGGTGGACGCATGAGGCGGGACATTAATAACAGAGTTGGTGGACGCATGAGGCGGGACATTATTAACAAAGTTGGTGAACGCATGCGGCGGGACATTGATTACAGAGTTGGTGGACGCATGAGGCGGGACATTGTTAATAGAGTTGGTGGACGCATGAGGCGGGACATTGTTTACAGAGTTGGTGGACGCATGAGGCGGGACATTGATAACAGAGTTGGTGGAGGCATGAGGCGGGACATTGATAACAGAGTTGGTGGACGCATGAGGCGGGAAATTGATAACAGAGTTGGTGGACGCATGAGGCGGGGCATTGTTAACAGAGTTGGGGGACGCATGAGGCGGGGCATTGATAACAGAGTTGGTGGACGCATGAGGCGAGACATTGATAACAGAGTTCGTGGACGCATGAGGGGGGACATTGTTAACAGAGTTGGTCGATGCATGAGGCGGGACATTGATAACAGAGTTGGGGGACGCATGAGGCGGGGCATTGATAACAGAGTTGGTGGACGCATGAGGCGGGGCATTGATAACAGAGTTGGTGGACGCATGAGGCGAGACATTGATAACAGAGTTCGTGGACGCATGAGGGGGGACATTGATAACAGAGTTGGTGGACGCATGAGGCGGGACAGTGTTAACAGAGTTGGTGGACGCATGCGAGGGGACATTGTTTAACAACGTATGACAATAACAGATCTACTCATGTTTCTCATTTTACGATATACCCATGCATCATTGCGCACATTTAGTTGATTTAGTCTTGCAATATGCATATTACATTTCGCGTATTGCATTTTTGCATGAGCCGTTCCGATACAATTTTATTCTTAAAATAACAAAGTAAAGGTATATATTCGAGCCTTCGTCACGTGTTTCCTTAACTGACTGACACGTATTTATACATCACTACATAATCATTAATATTCTATTCAATATTCACCTGTGTGTGTCATACGTTAATCTATCTAAACAAGTCACACAATTAATGCAGTTGTAATTTTGTAATTTAGCTTCGTTATTAATATTTTACTGTATTGTTTATGTTTCCGTAATACAGCCCTTAGAAAGAGATACTGTTATAATCCAACAAGAGCAAACACGTTATTTTTATACAATCGAAAACAGACTAAGTCTTTCGGATCGATAACGGCGTGACGTCAAATTCAAACTATAACAGAATTCCCAAATGGTCTCGATTGACTAGTAGCTTACGGAAATGATAACTATATGGTTGTGTCACCTTTTGGCAAACGGTTTGCTTTCTGATTGGAGCGAAATACATCTTTTTAACATTGGTGATGTTGTTAAACATAGTTCTATTTTTATATACATTTCAATCCTAACATTTATGCCAAATCAGCAAACATCATATCATTCTATACTTGATTCAAAATTTACTTTAACAAGATGTTTAACCTATTGGCGGAACAGGCATTTTTTCGAAAACAAAAGAAATGGTTCTTACTGCTATTGGATTATAACACATTAACAATACAGGAATCTTACTGCTATTGGATTATAACACACATTAACAATACAGGAATCTTACTGCTATTGGATTATAACACATTAACAATACAGGAATATTACTGCTACTGGATTATAACACATTAACAATACAGGAATCTTACTGCTATTGGATTATAACACTTTAACAATACA